TGTAATTAGTTATTAACGAAATACTTCGATTAATTTGTGTAAGTAGATACATACCAACACTATAAGAAATAAATTAATCGATTTCCACAGGGCTAGCGTTTGTAATCCATTTGGTAAATTTATTATACGGTCGTTGGCTTATATTACATAGTCGTTTCAAAGTGAAACGTGTAAGTTCTACGTCAGGTATACATTATTAAATAGATGTGGCCAGAAAAAATTGTTTTTCGTTATCGAAACTTCGTTCCTTGTTAAATATAAAATTACCCTTAAAAGCTTCGGTGTCAATTTCTAAATTGTAAAATTTCAACTGAAAAGTAAGACTTTTCAACGAAGTTAATTGATTTAATTTAAAATGTAAATTGTAAAAAAAATATTTTATAATTTCTTTTATAAAGATTATTATTAACAATTTAATATACAAAATTTATTAATATTAACTGTAATCTTAAAAGTTTTCTATAAATGGTAATTCGAAAACTCTACAATTTTCTGAATTATTAAGTACGATCTGTTTGACTTTACGGCATAATATAAAATTCAAATCGTCTGGCGATCGATGTTCTGAACATAGCTGTCAAGTATAGCTCTACGCGGAAACAATGGTGCGATAGTTAATGTAAAAATTTGCCTGAGAATGGTTCCCCGAGGAACGCGAATTCTCGGAGGTCTTTTATTGAGAGTAAGCTCGTCTGCAGTGCTGAAAACTCGTGAAAATAAAAGATCGACCTACGCTACGGAAAAGTTCAGGTTCTCCTCTGCGGCTATCTGTGTATGTAATAGATGCTTTTTATTAAATCGCCGAATACACTTGGTATATCGTATTTCTTGAAATATTTTTCATTTTAATGGGATTCGTGATTCCCGAATGGTTTTAGTTGTATGTTTCTCAGTTCGTAACTGCTGTATTATTAAATTTTCCTATAAACAACTTTTTAATCAAATAATTCTTTCTTATAAATCAAGATTTTATTTTACTTTCGAGTAAACAGTTTTATGACATATATGGGATATTTCAGGTCTAAAAAGAAGACATTGTTCAGAAATCGCGATTGCAGCACCAACGCCAACCGTGCAGTTAATTTTCCGATATAGAGGACAACAATTGTTTCGTTCAATGGACTCATCCGGTGTGTAATATCGCATCAATTACTGTACTCTCTTCGGTGAATCAACGATCAGGCCGTACAACCGCTGAAAATTACCGGACCGTTTTACCGAAATTTCGCTTTATATCCGGCCTTTTGTTTTCGAATATCGAAAATAATATTACTTTTATTGTTGGCTTTATCAGCATATCTTTTGCGTTTCCCGGCTTTGTAAATATTTACTCTCATTGGTTTTTATTGTCAAATATTCCAACTATTTTTTGTTGGTTTATATTTTTAATATTACACGCGGAATCGTATAACTTTATTTATTCGATCGTTTATTTTTGAATAAGATTTTGGTTATTTGATTATTATTTTCCATTTTATTTTTTCCTTTTGTTACCTAGTGGATCATAAGTTATGGGGTTGTTGGAAGACATTTTGGCGACTTTTGTCAGAAAAGATTTTATCTCGACATGTACATCAGAATACAATGAGAAATGAAAAAATTCACATTTTCATTTCAATAAATCATCAGTTCCAAGTTCCATCGTCTTGGAACTGATCGAATCAGATATTCTTGACAAACTTCAATCTGAGTCATTCGTCAATCTGTAATGGATAAATTTTGATTTTGTGTATTATAGGTAAGCTATAAAAAAATAAATAGTTTTGTTGTGAAAAAAAATGATGATTACAAAAACGTCAATTACTCGGCAAGCTTTTAGCTAAAAGCAAAGTGAGTTTGTGGGAAGCTTGGAGAAGGTATAAAAAATCAATCTAAATTCCAGCACTAATGAAAAAGCAACTAATTATCGTAATTACACAGCAGATTGGTATATTAGTGTACATTAATTAAATTACACGTCAGGGGTCGATGGGTCGTTGGACAAAGGAGGTTTTCGCTTTTTTTTACTACCCCTCAGGATTCGTTTTCCGACCGGTCCTATTATGCAAATTAATTTTTGCGCAAAAGACATTGTTTGGAAAATAGGTAGCGAGCCACGATCGCACTCAAACCCCAAAATTGCCGCAATTAGAAAAGTCCGCAACAAAATTATTTCATCGTAACAGTTTTCGTACCGTCGCTGTTGTGGTGTGGCTTTTGATTTTTTACTGTTATTTTTCGCCGTTCACTGTTTTAGAGCTGAAAAGTTAGCAACCGCGTGACTGCAATCGAGCGTTGGCTGTTTTTTACCCTCAACTTGTTGGAAACTTTCGGCGGTATGATAATATTTTAACGGGGGATTATAAAAGTTCAGTTAATCCCGGTCGTCTCGCCCAGACTAAATACGGCAACCTCGTTAAAAAACAACGCATACGAAAATAAATTTAATGGAATATGTTACATTTTCCGCGTGTCGCGGATTTTCATTACTGCCTCTTTAAACTATGTATTTCAATATTAAACTATTATTATTTTAATCACATAAAAGCTAACTGTTGAAACCAACAGTTTATTAACATTTGTTTTTTTTTTTTTTAATTAACAATAGTTTTCGAAACTATTAACACAATTTTGATACAAACAATTTATAATGTTTCGTAATAACTGTAATAAAGCTTTTTATAATTTAATAACGCATAAAAGTCAATCTATTAATTTGTTGTGAGTTTCGACAATAACTCAAAAACTACCGTATCGATTTTAGCGTTGTTCGGTATGCCTATAATGCGTTTAAATATATGAGCTACGTGTTTTTCCCAACATGCCTCGAAGCAACCCGAGCAAAGTTACGAGAGCTATTATATACGCTATTTACCTGGGAGTAATATGATCAAAGTGGTAGGTATTAGAGAATACTAACGTAAATTAGTCGCATAATAAGGTTTTTCCGCTAGCATAAGGCATAAATGTTATATAGGGATTATGGAGGTTAACTACCCCATTAAAAATTAATAATCTCACAGGTGTTACTCGCCGATTTCCATTAAATTTGGAACAGGTTTTTTTATGAATGCTGTAAAAACCTTTGGTAAATAGAGAAAATGTGGAAGAGGGTCTCACACCTAATAACCCCAAAAAGAAATTGCGTGGATACGAATAGCACAAGATTATATCCTAGGAATTTTTACTTTCTATATTTGGATTTTCTACAGGGTTCATGTCATTTTTGAGTACACTTCCTTTTAATTGTAAACTTAGGATTTATTTTCTCCATGATCAGGGAGTATTCTGAAGAACTCCAAACAATAAATGTAGTGGAATGAATGCAATTTGTAAACTTAGAATTTATTTCCGCAAAAACCAGAAATTTTACCATCTTAGGTTTACTCTAGATACTTTGAATAGGGTCTTTAGTACACTCTATGTCTATCCGCAACCCTACAACTCAACCACCTTCATTTGAGAAAAACCCTTCAATCTCCAGCAAAACATAAATCTCTGGCATCTGACAGTTTAACTTTTTGAACACATCGGCCATACATTCGCTGTACACTTTCATAGACTGTTAGCACAAGTATGGCTTAAACACATAACGGAACAGTGATTATAATATAATCACAGTGTTGTTGGAGATGCCTGGTTTTGCCTCTGAGATGGTTATACGAGAGTCGCAGCTGAACCTAAAAGAGATCACTGGGAGACCGCAACAAGAGGTATAGGAAGCATTCATCAACCTAAAGAATCAGAAGAGTTCAAATAATGTTGAATAGACCAGTCGAAAGAAGAAGACGAGTTAGACCAAAACTAAGATTTCTTGATGATATAGAAGAAGATCTAGAAGATCTTCTGAATCAGCATAAGGATCACCCAGAGCTGTAGAGCCATAAATAATAATAAAATTTTGAAAAAGTTTTTAAGTTTTGGACGAACTTGGTTTTCCTTAACTACTAATTACATACAACACATTTAAAAAACGATATTCAATATTGTTTGTGTAAACAGTAACACAAAAACTTTCCGTTTTATACAATTTAACTTTGTTAATTATAGCAAAGAGCAGGAATAATACTTTAACTAGGACCAGACTATTCCGCTGGTTTGAATAAAATTGTCCACATACGTCGATAACAGGATTTATTACGTGCAATTTCACTAGCGGCGGCGTAGCATAGTAATCCTGGGTAAAGGTAAAACCGGCGAAACGCTTTGTGTCCCTGCCCTATTGTAATGTAAACCTGCGAGCAGGTAAACTTGGTCCAAAAATGTCTGTGTACTTGGAAATGTAAACAAACGCAGGGACCCGCTAACGTACAGCATAGGCGCTCGACAATTCCCGCCAATTCTAAACCGTTGTTCCTCTTTCGCCCTCCGCACCCAAACGTGAGCAAACAGCATCCAGTCACGTGATATACCCCCATCGGTCCTTCTACACGTCTCGTTCCATCTTCTTCCCGCATATACGACAACCATTCTGTTGTTCACCGGTTTATTCGTGGGATGTTTGTTCTACTTACTAACTGCTCTCCTTTTTTTTTGTAAGCCTCGGTTGACGTAGTGTCAATATTCTTAAGAATTGGTGTAGCTTTATTAGGGACTATCCTTTTTGTTTGTAAGTAACCTAAGTAAAATTGATGTAAAATCCTAATTTAGGTTGAAACCCGTAAAGAATTTTTTTTGAAAGATATAACAGATAATAAACAACGCATCTGTAGTAATCTTGTAGCTGTGACTTATACTCGCCTATTAATATCGCCTATTAAGTATAGTAATTAAGCATAAATTTAAAATTATTCTGCGCATGTCAAAATGTGTTTGCTACTTTTTCATTTAAACTCTATTTAGAGGATAATAAACCAGTAAATAAAAGATAATCACTGAGCTTTGAACAAAAATGTTGTCTATTTTTATACGTTAAAATTAGCTCGTGGAATATTTCCTTCCCTCCCCATACATAGGCCAAGTCAACAAAACTCACCTACATTTGAGTTGGAATTAAAAAGGGTTATAAAAACGCAACTTACCTCGAGCATCGTTCCGTCCATTTCTGGCTCACTCGTGCTGCGTTGTCAAGAACTAACACTCACTCGGCATTCCTCCAGTTTTCCCTCGAATGCAATGCAATTCATAAGCTGAAGGTAACAGAATGGTATCAGGTTCGCGATCAAATAGTCTACTCTTTGCGGGGCAATCTTTGCATCTGCACGGTTTTCCGTAAGGCGAATTCTCGTGCAAACCGCGCACACGCCGACCACAGAGGCGTCGCGACGCTTCGAAAACCTGCATGGATCCAGTAGTGTTCAGAACACCAAACCGTAGACGCACGCAATTGCTTTTAACGTAAGAAATAATAAACACGTGAAAATGAGGCCCTTTGAGTAGTTTTAGAAACCGTCCTTCAACTGGCCTACAGTCGAAAATTTAATGTTGGTCTAAGAGATATTTATTAAAAGCAAAGTAACCGGGTGAAGCCGTGAGGTACAACAAGTGATCATGTGATGTTCTTAAATGTAGTTAATATCCATGTTCGTAAACTATGGAAAAGTTCAGTAGAACTAATAACTTCATATCGAATCATCGAAAGAAATTAATTCGGTCGTGTCGCGCCATTAAATTAATCGAACAAATCTTTTAACCATAAAATAATTGTTGCTTCCATCTGTCGTATTTAACAATTTCATACATATCTGTGATTTTATCATTCTATATAGATAATAAATAATTTTTATAGTGTTAAAGAATAATAAGCAAATAAGTGTTACCTATTACAAACTCTTTTAATTCATTGTGTAACCTTTTATCCTTCATCTAAACGTATACCATGAAGAGGATGTCTCAACGAAACGGTTTGCTATAAAATTTCTTTTTTTATATTTCCGATACAGGTTGATGATGACAGCCTGTGGACGAAAGGCGATGGTGTCAACTTGGGCTTGCCTTTTGCTACTAGCGACGGTACAAGTCTTCGCTTCCGGTAAGTTTTCCAATTTTCTTTTACCTCTATTTTTGCATGACACGCCCAAAATCATGTGCATGTACGTTTTTGACATCAAAAAATAATATTCGAATTGTCGCGACGCGCTTGTCTTGAGCGTATACTTAACGTTCCAAAATTAATTTACATTTTAAATATTAATTCATTAATATAACTTTTATTATTAATTTTTTGTTTCACATCAAGAATACTTGTCAATTATAAGAAGATTTATAACGAAATTTCTTGCAAATATCTATAATGATTTTAAAATGGTTCTTTGTTTAATGTAATGGTAAGTAATGTTTAAATACTATTTTATTTAAAAATGAAGATAGTGTAAAATTGGTCGCATGTTCAGCTAGTTTATAACATGTGCAACTCGTTGGCGATTTTTTGCCAATAAAATAATTTTTGTAAGCTATTTCATCATCAAAATTATTGTTACGAAGTACTCAATGTTTATAGCTGTCCTATATTAAGTAAGCTTTGAGAGAGTTATTTCAAATGTATTCTTAAATGCGATTAAGTATTTTTGAGAAGCCATTGGAATCTCGGGAAACATTATAATAAGTGTGCAAGTAGGACAGAAAAAATCTATTGACATATATCAACTGTGGCTGGACTTTTGAGTTCAAATTTCCATCATGTGTTAAATATCTCGTTTTTCTAAGGTCTTATTTTGATGTCATAGATCGCCATGCACGCATTTAGGTTTTCCACAGAAACTAATTTTCTCTTTTATCTTCCATTTACGTCTTTAGAGAAAAAATTCTTTATTTATCCTTATTGAAGTATGCAAATTCTACTGGATTGGTGTGGGTTGCAATGTTTTCGCTAATCATCTCGATTCTTCCGTGTTTGTAATATCCAATAGTTCTATCAATTCAGTTATTACCATTTCTGATCTCATCCATTATTGCAGGAAGCAATTTCTGAACAATTTTGAAACAATCTTGGCTAATTTTTGGTCTTGAATTTTTTTGAAATTAAGTTTTTCAATCTGGCGATCTCATACATGACATGATGGACATGATTGATCGGAATTTGTCAACATTACTCCATAAATTATCCTAATTTTTCACCACCGAACTAAAGAGACATACTCGGGAACGTAAAAAAAACGTGTGAAGTTGAACAATAGTATTAATATAATTCTCGACATATTGCAACGGACAACTCACAAATTAAATGTTAATAATTAATACTAATGCAAATTTCCAATTAGTTTGAAATAAACAATTAATAGTACTAGATGCCACTAAAATTATCAATATTATCTTGGTTGAGATAGATTGCATAATGCAATTTTCGAATTGAAATGCCCTAAAACGTAAAATAATATACATTTCGTTTAGAATTTTATTGCGCGTATTCTATGGTTTTAAATAGACATCAGATAATAATGATATCGACGTTGTTTACATTTTTCCATATAACAATAAATAACTGAATGAAATAAAATCCGATAGCATATTAAATTATAAAACTATACCAAGGTTGGTTTTGGGTTTCGACTCTGCTTGGTTGGGAAAATAATGTTGGCTTGATGTACCTAGTCATGCGAAATTCAAAAAATATTTTATTTGTTTACGGATTTTGACACGATTCAATTTCCATCGAATGTGTAGTTGTTGAATGAATAAATTTAATTAAAATGTCTGTGAACTTCGGCATATATACGATGATTAATCAAATTTATCCACATCATCCTTCAACGGTACCGATCGTTTTCAGCATGCATTTATAGTAACCAAATAAACTCATTTCGATTCGTTTTTTATTGCTACTTAAAATAATAATACGTTACTTAATCGCAGTAATTTATTGTTCCGTTATGTATGAATTATTTTATAAAATTATTCCTTTGCCAATAAATATTAATTAATATTATACTGAAAATTTTTGTTTATATTTTATTCAGCAACTAAAATAATGTCTATACCAGCAAGTTTTATAGTGTAACATAGATTGTACGCTATAAATATAATATTAGCAATATTTATGAAATATTGACACAAACAATTCGTGCAATAAATAATTCAAAATGAGATTAAACGAACTTAACACATATCGTTATCGCATATTTTAGATCAAATATTTTACAGAAAAATCTTCTTTTTGTATGAGACACACCAATGAGAAAGACTTATCGAGTAATTTTTCACTCTCGTGTCATCTGAACCTCGAGTGCCATTTAAATTTATAATTGTGTAATTAATCATCCGCGATAGTGGTAGTTTTCGCGTTCACTTCAAATTCCGATCACCGAGAAAAATCCAATTTATGAATCAAATATTGGGGGCCCTTTCAACTTCAACTTGGCGCAGATACACAACATGACATTAAATATACAACATCATGACCGATTGCAGCTTTTCTAAATTGAATAATTCAGTTCCCGCTGACGTTCGAATCATATGAACATTATGTTGTACTTATTTCAAAGAATTTTGTTATTGTTTCCTTGAAACTTTACAATAAAAATTAGTATTGATAGTTTGATTAATAAATAGATAGTGAGTTGCCTAATGTTTAAAAGCTCCTAGGTGTCTGTCTCTCAATCAAGCGGATACTTAATAAAACATTGGTTCCGGAGAGCAAAACCGTGTCAACCGCGTTTAAATTTATACATAATGCAGATCCACATCACGTGTCGCGGTGGTAGAACCATCGCCCGAGTTTACGTTTGGCCGCCAACGGCACAAAACCGGCCAACAAAACAACATGGCCCCGGATGAAAATTTTAATGCACCCGGATTTATGAGAGCGCGAGAATCGGAACGAGAACGAACGGTGGACAACAACGACGTCAACGACGACGAATAGACTTCGATAGAAAAAAAGCAGAGGAAGTTTAAACCGGTGTAAGTAGGACGATAGACCAGCTACGGTTGGTCTAGCTTAAATAAAATCGTCTTAATGGTTATTTCAGTGATGTTCGTGGACGCGAGTTGAATTTTCAAAGCTTTAGACGACCGACAGACATCGTCGTTGGCCCCTGAATAACGTTGCGGTTTTAATATACTGAAAGCGGAGTTTGTTTCACACTAATGCTCACGAGACGGTTCTCATTATGCAAGAATAATGTACATTGTGAAGTTTTTTGTTTGCTTCTGTATAAAAACAACGTCCATCATCAAAATTTGTCTGCGGCTGTAATTAATACGAACATAAAAAGATTGATTTTTCTTTTAACCCTTAATGATTTATTTTTTAAACGAATCTTTTTTAATCCAACGAAAGCGTCTCACGACATAAATCGAAACAAGCCGTAATTAAATCTAGTTCCAATGATTGGCAATTTGCATGAGAACATTATTTTTCCCCAGTAGGAAATTGTTTCATTTGTCTTTATCTCTGGGATCATAGGATTTTTCAGGCACTGTGAGTAGTTTTCAATTACAAAACAAATTAAGATTAATGACGGATCGAGACACAGAGAGGGAACGTTGCGCAGGAGGGCCGAGGCGGTCCTGGAAATTCGAAACAACGAAGCCAAACAACGAATTAAAGTAAAGTAGTACTTTTCCGATAGACAGCATTGCTGCACAATGGCACTTTTGCCGGCTGCCTTCGTTTAGTTGCCACCCGAACAAAGTACCATAATTACAGGCCGTAATTTTCAAAAACGACCCTGCTTTCAGTCGACATTAATAAGAGAGGAACGAAGAGCTCCCGTTTTTTAAAGATATTGCATTTGTATGAAAGTTTACTGGCGGTTTTAATTATTTGCCTGTTGATTACTATACGAGTACATGATCGAAATTTAATAGTTAAATGAATACATCATTTTTTCACATACAATTTGCATTTTTTCTTTTTCCCGTAATCTCGTATGATTTTATTGCTAAATCTAGAGGTTAACCTTTTAATCACAGATCAAAATCAAAAATGGTGGATTCAATAAACATTTCTGGTAGAAAATATTTCATACATCATAATATGGCATTAACTTTCAATTAATGAGAGAGATCAAATATGGCCGAGTTCGCAATATGTATTAAGCGCAAGTATTAAACAACTTTTATAATAGAACTACTTCCAAAATATAATTTTGAGCAAGTAAGGCTGTAATACTGTGAATTAGCGGACGAGATAAGACTTGTTAATGATCATGCCGTAAATAGTAATGCTTTTATCACCGTAAGGATGATGTCAAAAATTAATTACCAAAAAAGTTCGAACAAGTTTTGGTGGATAAAAGAAATCTAGGAATGAAGCACCATATAAGATATGAATTAGATTTATCACCTGGAAATATTGTACATTTTTGGTTTTGTCTGGAATTAAAACAAAAGCTGGTAAATATATCCCTTATGATTCTTTATCTCCTTAATCGGATTGAAAGAGGCGATGATAGTAGAAAGTAGACTACTTTCCTCTTCTCCTTCCTATGTACAGTTCTGATTTTGTCATTATTTAGGTTGGGTTAAATTGTACCTGTAGGACACCCCGAAGTGGTCTGGATGGATGCGGATGGACCAAGAAGACGAAAGATATATTCCTTCTGATTTAGTTTCTGCAAACTCTTTGCTCTATCAAGTCTTACAAGTTTATACAGCGCCTAACAGACACGCTGAGTTGATTAACGTTCTCTTGCAAAACCGGATTTGTATAACTACATGTAGAATGCTTAAAAATCATTGTTAGATTTATTTGAATCTTCCATGCCATTAGATCGTCCACGACATAAATCTTTCGCCTTAAACAACCAAGTAGAACAGAAACTCACCCCGCGTCTTTGAGTAAGTTTACAACAGTTCTTTTATTTCAGTTAACCGAATGAATTTCTTCTAGTTTATCTTTAGATCTACAGCAAAGCTAATTTCTTTCAATTTACCCAAGTGCAGTCCATTCGCATCAGCTCATTAGCTAATTGCTTTTACGTGAAAGTACTGTAATTAATTTGTTTAGTACGTCTAAAACGAGAATAATTCTTTTACAATTATCTCGAAATGTACTTTTTAAATAGTATGTTATGTCGAGGAACTGAAACA